AATTTCCTGTATTTATTTATGACACGGTTGTTTTTACTGTTTTATATCAGAAAAAAAAGCTAGTTTCATTTTTAAGCCACTGTCCGTGGCTTATTATAAATAAGGAAGTCTGTTATGTCATGCCACACGTTGCTGTCGTGGTAGAGGTAGTTCATGGAGGACTGCAGCGAGGGCTGGAGGGTGTGTGGGTAATACTCAAACAGCCACAAGACGATGCCCCACACCAGCGTGGCGAAGAGCGGGAAGGGGTCGTGTTTGGGTTGGGGGATGATTCCTTTCTCGACGGCCAGACGAGACAGAGCGAACAAGATCCTGGACAGCAAGTACATGTTGATCTGAGGCAAAAAGGAAGTGAAAACATGAACTGAATCAGTTACAGACTTCGGTTTGAAAAGATTCTGTAAAAACATTATAAACCTCGTCACACCTGGCTATTGATGCTGTTGTTATTGCCAAACACCAACCAGCCGCCGACACACGCAGCCAGAAAGGAGTGAGACTGTAAACTCTTCCCCTGGATCTTCTGCTGCAGGGTCTGAAGTCCTTTATATGTGAACACGAAGCAGGCCAGGTTACAGGAATGGGTGTAAGTGGCCTTCAAGATGGCTTTGAGCTTGTCCTTCAAACTACGGACGGCAAGAGCAGATACATAGATTCAGATTCAAACAACTTTATTGATCCCAAGGAGGGGAATTCATTTTCAGCTTAACCCGTTCAAGATCCCACAGACAACATCCAGGATGATACAGGTCAACAAGATAAGAGATAAGATGAGATAAGATGAGATAAGATGAGATAATCCTGTATTAGATCTGCAGTATTACAGAAGAATATGCATGTAATTAAACTAATATATGAAGTGTAAAGACAGGAACAATATGTGCAGTGTGAGAATAAATAAAGAATTTTAAGGAGGTAAAATAAATATCAATTAGAGACAATAGATGCTTCAGGGCATGATGACATGGATCAGAGTCATGTTGTGTTGATAAGACACTGTCATTTAGAAACAGAGAGAATCATACCTGCCACTCCTGAAGAGGAAGGTCATCACCAGGGCATGGGGGGCTCTGATTTTAGCTCCGTACCTGAGAACAACACACATTGATATGAAGTGAACTCCATGAAGAGTAGAGTCAACTTGACTCCATGTTTCCAGATCCACAGACAAACTACAGAGTTAGAGTTTAACTTCCTGTTTCACTTGATTGTTGCTGAGGTTGTTCACTCACACGACTCCGTTCCTGAATCCTTTTAAAACAGCCAGAGCCGCTTTGTGTTTCTCCTGCTGCAGCAGAGTGTTGACGGTGAACAGCAGAGTCCTCACCAGGTCACAACCTGCAGCCGCCATCGTTTCTGACGGACAGGACACAGTGTGGCACACAGCGGCGTGTCACGGAGAATGTTGTCCGTGATGCTGCACCGCGTTAAAGGTTCCTACTCAGTAAGTTCAGCTAAAACAAAACAAATCTAGATTTAAAGTTAGGTATAAAATAAGTGCTTTGTTATTTTATATATAAAAAAAAGTCTTAGCATAGATTCTCACGTCAGGCTGTGAAAATACATTTGAGAAAAACTATATTTCACAAAAAGATTCATAGAAAACAACATTTTAAAAAACTTTTCACAATATACAACATTTTAAATAACGACACATTTAGCAAAACACAACACTTGTATTGTTGAATTCTTTTCTATTTAAGGTTTGTTTGTGTGCTAAAGAGCAAACCTTCATAAATCCATTAGTCATTCACTGCATGTTACATAATGTATATACAGTATATACATGTGAGAGCAAGAGACAATGTGCAGACACATTTTGTGACACATTTCAGAGTAATGTGAGGGAGATTAGAGACAGATTACCAGAGTCTGAGCAGAAGTTCCAGAAAAGAAAAGGTGTCTAATGTTGTTTAGTCATTTGTCTGAAATACAAACACTTTACATTCTTTATTTAAATGTTTTAACACCACAAAGTAAAAGTTACTGAAGCAGAAATACAGAATCAGTCGAATGTATTTAGGATATCAAAAGTAAATGTACTTACGTGGGATGAGTCTTTCTGTATTCAACTTTGTCTAAAGGCAGAGTTCTGAAGAGACAGTTAAGCCTATTGAAGAAAATGTATCTATATAAATACGAGTTAACATTATGTTACATGATCACATTGATTCTATGTCGCATCTGGTTGGGTTTGAGCAGTTTTGTAATATTTGCATCACATTCTATATGATTTTTTTATAAAAACATTTTGATGTGCAAAGTATTGAATATTGTTGTTGGAGTAATGTTAAATTGTTTGCAATTTGTTTTTGCAGCCTCCATTAACTTTTATAACTTTTGAATAACTGTTAATTTCATTATCACAACCTGTGTCTGGCTCTGCTGCAGGTTTCTTCTACGAATGAGGGAGTTTGTGCTATACAAATTAATTTGCTATTATTATCATAACTCAGTGCCCGGTTTATTTCAGGACAAAATCATTAAACAATCACAAGTCATAAATCCAAAAGATTTATTTAGTATACATGGTCACCTTTGAGTTCACTGTGGGAAAGATTTCATAGTGAAAATATTATATATAAGTAGAATATGACGAAGACACAGTTCACATCTGAGGAAGGGTTTTGCTTTGATGATGATTTGTGTTGATCCCAACTAGAGGGGCTCACATACAGCACAGGACGAGTGGAATAATAAAGGGTTTATACATAAAGTTGTATTTTTTTCTTTCAGGGAGAGACACAAGCAGGTACAGAGTACTGTTGCCATTTTCTTTTTTCAAATGATGGGAAAGCATTTTTTGTCATGTTGTATGAGAACAATATAAAAAAAGCTGTTGCCTTATGTTCATTTAGAAGAAATATATAAAGAAAAGTATTTGATTGCATATAATATAGTAAACACATTTTAAAAACAATTCTTACACATGACAAGTCACCTACAGGAGCCCAGTGTTAATATCATTTTATTACTGTTTTTTTTCCTCAATCAATCCAGTTCATTGTCACATGAAACCCATTCTCCAAATAAATAGTTTTCCACCACTGACCTTCACTTATCAAAACAAAGCTTCAGCTTCAAAAAAAGAAAAACTATCGACATGATTTACAATGTAATCGTCACAACTAAAACACCATTTTGCATATTTCTATACATTTAACTGCCAAATGGCCTAAAACACAGCAGTGATTAAAACAGTGAAGTGGTTAATTCAGCCAGTTTTGAAAGTCAAGGTGCTACATCATTAGTTGTAATCTGTCAAGAGGTTCAACAGTCAACATTCTTATCACTATTCTTTTTAAGATAATAATCTCTTCACTGGAATCTACACACAGAATTTGTAGGTGTGTGTCAGTATTGAATCACTGCCAGAGAACGAATACAGGCAGTGTAATATGACTCATCTGACGCAATTAACTATTAAGCCATAACTGGTATTTCCTGAGGGTCAGTACACCTTTCAGTATAATGATGGAGAGATTAAGTCAGTATAAGAAGAACAAGCCTCATGAATAGAAATAGTATGAAAAAAAAAAATCCTTTTACATTTAGCTGGAAACTGAAAGACGTTGGTCAAATTCATACTGAATTAATGAATTTTCAGAGTGTGGGATACATATTGAAATTTCATCATGTAAGGATGCAACACGCCACCTATACACAATACAGAGCAGTTTCTTAGCTTTTAAAAAAATATCACATTACAATTCATTAATTTGGCTCCGTTCATATTACCCAACAAGACCTATGAATACACAGAAGGGACACAAGTTAATATTGTGTATAAATACGAATCCATTATTGTGATAGGCCTGGTAAGAAAACCTTTTAAAATCCACAGTGATGAAGCAGGTCAAGAAATGTTGATACCTCATTATTTAAAAGTGCCTAAGATGACAAGTCAGTGTAAAAGAATTACAGAAACTCAGTGGGTAAAATGCAACTGATCTAAAATATGGAATAATTCAGAGGATGTAAAGAACTGGTGAAGACTTACACTTAGTCAAGTGGTTCACATAAAATTAATGAAAACAAAACCCTTTGGTAGATCGATTTATTAGAGGTTCTAATAAAATCAAACTCCTGAACACCGGAAACTAAAAGGAAACTTGGTTGTTTGACATTAGTGAAGCTATTTTTGGAAAAGACATGAAATGTGCTATTTCTGTACAAATCTTAATCTTAATACCTCACACCCTATAAAACTAGGGAATATTACTATTCCATTGATTCAAATCTTACTCATCAGTTTAAGTCGGCAACTCAAGGGGGCCCACTGCTTGTGCCAATTATATATATATGTACAAAAACTGCTTTAATCACTTCACGAGTACAAGTTTCTGTATTTTCATCAGTGATCTATGATGATATTTAGTTCTGGGTAACAACCAGAGAATTGGCTACCATTCCGTGGGTACATGTCATTATTTAATAAATTATTGTCCTAATTCTCCCACATCATCAGTACCAGCTCATAACTATCAAGAGACTCCCACACTCATGGGAAGTTTCTATTGTGGTCAAACAGGCTGATGTAATAATACACAGCACAGATTTAGGGAAGGCAAAGTTCATCAAAGCAAATCACATCTATAGTAGTTTCACCATATTTCATATTGGGAATTTAAAATCAATAGTGCTAGAAAAATGATGAAACAAATCACTTTTTGGCTCTATAACGGGCAAATGTTTTCTACAAAACTATTGCACATAAAAAATACAACCTCTCTTAAGAACAATCACAATGGTCTTACTGCTAAGCTATGTTCAAAGTTTGATCTTATCATTATTAAGTTAACAAATTAAACCTGTAAAATAATTATTAAAATTAGCATGATTATAATTATAAAAGGTTTTACAAGAAATTTCCCATGTGCTATGAGTCAGTCCAATCACGTTGAGAAAAATCATCTGTCACTCCTTGAAAAATAAAAATCAAGTCTGACGGATCCAAAACCATATATGTGCCTTTTACGTCGCCTTGAGATATGAAGCTTTTGTTTTAAGTCAAAACACACAAATATGTTTTTTTGCTCTGAAATGTTTCATTCTGCATAGACCCGAAAAGGCGGCTCCTAAGAAGTTACTACTGCAGAGATTCACAGATGCACATGTAGAAACTGTACTTGCGTAATGCACAGCGAGTGCAGACATGACAGAGTGAGAAAGGCGTCTCTTCTCTTCCAGCGCCTGATGGACTGAACAGGGATAAGCGATCTGGATTAGGTAGCAACGGATGCATCAGAAGTGAAATAGGATGAGAAGGATACACCTTAGATCTTGTGTGATGCAAACTCAAGTGAAACTGTCTCACTAAACAGCTGAGAAGCAGCTGATGATGTGGAAGAAAATTTAAAAAACTTGTTACATCCATCTACCAGTTAATAGCAGCTCCTGGCTGCAAGCAGAATCTGTTGGGGAGCTCTCGTCTGAAATGTCTCCTCCAGACCCTCTGCTCCTCCAGCACCTCCTGCAGCTCCTGCTCTTATTGCATCACTCCTGCCCAAAGCCTTCGGTCTCTTCTATGGCAAACATGAGTTTCTCCTTCAGCTGCTCGTAGCTCTTGTAAGGAGGGAGGTCCAGACGATTAAAGCTACATGGACAAATGAGACAGAAACTTTATCTTGGATTCAATGTGTAACCTCTAATCAATAAAACAAAAACAAAGTAATGAAACACCAAAAACAAAAAATCAATATAACAAAATGCAATGATGAACTCTTTTAAAATTTTTTAAAAAAGATCATACTTTGTATAGAAAAGTTTATTACCCGTATACTGGGGTTTAAACATACAAAATCTGATGATCAAAAAATACTTCTTGTTTGATGTTACCACAATTAATTACCTGGTTACATAACCTGCTGAAACTGCTACATTAATTATTTATGATGTTTCATAAAGACATTCACTAAACAAACAATGTAACCATTCTAAGTTGGGATACAGAACTGCATTCCTACATGGTATCATATAACCTCAAATACCTTATTAAATACCAACAATAAAGGAAGGAATGAGAGTGAGTTGAATCAGAGATGACTAAGAGGGTTTGGTCATCACATCTGTTTGGAACAGGTATTTCACCAAATACTAGAAGTAGAAGGATGTGAATGAAAGCAGACGCAGGTCTTACCATGTGTGGCTTCGTGGAAGCCAGTTGTCTTTGCCCACTTTCTCAATGCAGAACTTTTGGGGACCATTGCTTCCTGTAAAAATGAATAATCGTAAAGACAACTAAATAACATACTGTACAATCTGTGTGTGTGTGTGTGTGTGTGTGTGTTTAGTTTGGTTACCCATCAGGTCAGCAAAGCCACCAACAGGAAGGCGGCAGGTTCCTGTGACAAACTGCAGCAGTCTCATCCTCTTCTCATTGTCCATCTCCTTCACAAACTGTCA